CAAAGCTGCTTGAGTTAATGGTCAACCCAGACCTCATTTGGCCAGAAAATTAGCTTGCCTCACTCTGCTGTTCAGCCTGCTGATGGGAGCGATTTACAGACACAGCTCTACAGCCATGCACATTAAAAGAAAGAAGCTAAATCCTCACCCCCCCCCCCCCAACCCTCCTAAAAAAAAAGAATGTGAACCCCTGAAAAAACCATCTGGAATGTTTCCTATTTCCCAGGCAGCACATTATGATTTTGTCTCTTCATTTGTCCAGCTAATGTCTATTAGCTGGCTACCCTGTGGCAGAACCGTTCTCCGTTTCATGGTACAGTCTGAAAGAAGCAGTCCCCGTTGTCATGGATCTATCTTCCCGGTAATAGAAAGAAAACAATGTAGAGACGTAGAGATGGCTCGGTTCCTAAAAGCCCTTGCTGAGCAAGCCTGATGACCCGAGTTCAACCCTGGAACCCATGTACAAAGCCAGATTCAGGTGGCACACATCTGTAATTCCAGCACTCTCTCTGGAAGGTGGGGGCAGAAATGGAAGACTCACCCAGAAGCCTTGGGCAGCACAGCAACAGAAACAGGAAAGACTACCTCAGACAAGGTGGAAGGAGAACTGACTCCTGCCATGTTGTCCTCCGACCTCCACACAGGTGCCATGGCCTGCACACACCCAACTGCACACCTACCTCCCGCACATACAACAATAAATAAAAATGTAATTTGAAGATTTGTTTCCTTTTTATATTTTTATTTGTTTATTTTATGTGTATGAGTGTTTTGCCTGCATGTATATAATTGCACCTGTGTCATGCAGTGCCCATGGAGGCCAGAAGAGGGTATCTGATCCCCTGGAACTGGAGCTAACTAGTAGTTAGCTGCATTGTGGGTGTTGGAAGTTGGAAACCAAGCCTGGGTCCTCTGCAAGAGTAATCTGGGCTCTTAACCACTGAGCCATCTCTCCAGCCTCTGTCATTTATACTTTTAAATTTTTTTAAATTTCTTTTTCCTTTTTCGGTCTTTTTTGAGACAGGGTCTCCCTAGAGCCCCAGTTGGCCTAGAACACAGTATGGAAACCAGACTGGCTTCGATCTCACAGAGATCTGCCTTCCTCTGCCTCCCCAGTGAGAGATTAAAGGCATGTGCCACCACACCCAGTTTAAATAATTTTTGAAAGGAAAATGTAGGAATGGATCAGGTGGTCATCACAGCTATGAAGAAGAAAATGATGATACACTAACAAAAAAGGTACACGAAGCAAAAGCTCGTTGAGAGAAGAAAAATCTCTGGCCTAGAGGGAACTTTCACTTTCCAATTTGTCTGGACCAATCACCTTGTCAGAGAACCATCTCTAGGAAAGTGGGTTCACCTTATCAAGCTAAAGACCAGCAAAATCACTAGTGTGCGCGTTACTGAGATGGTGAACTCTCCCTGTCTGGGATCCCTGCTTCCTAGTACAGTCCTGTGGACCAGGCCACAGATGTAGAGCTATCCGGAGTCTGCCTGATTTTCTGAATTCTTCAGACAAGCATAGCCTCTCCTTTTCTTTCTACCTCTTTTCTAAGCATGCTTCCTCTAACATTTTTGGTTTCTTTACTAAAGGCCCCTCCCACCACATGGCTGCCACTTCCACCCGGCCTGACCTCCATGCTAGCTCTAATGACTTTATGGCCTTTTCCTTCTCCCTTCCATTCTCCTCCTCTGGGCAGCTGCTGAAATTCAGCTTGCCTTCCCTGAGGGGTTTTCTTTCAAACTCTAATAAAATTATCCTAAAGTTTCCTTTGAGTCCATTATTAAATTTTCTTTTATTAGTGAGGGGACCCCATTTCCCCTGTATCATCAGGACAAAGACACCAGGCAGTGACAGTATATGTGCTCCTGAAAAGACCCCCAAGGAATCACTACTAAAACACTTCAAGTTTATTAACTGGAAACGGTAAGAATGTCCTCGGTTGGGATCTGCATCTAATTAAGAAAGCATCCAAAAGACTCCCAAGATTTGGTCTGTGTTAGATGGTTGGGGACAGTACAAGAAAGCAAAGCTTTGTTTGGGGTTGGGCAGGGCTAAGAAAGCAAGCATTTGGGGGTTGGATGCTCCTGTAAACCAGACTGGTCCCCAGCTCTATATAACCAAGGATGACCATGAACTCCTGATCCTTCTGCCTCTACCTCCCAGGTGCTGGGATTACAGGCCTGCACCATCACATCTGGCTGTCTGTGACTGGGTGTCTTCATTCCATGTGAAGGCAGGAGAATGAACCAAGACCATCGCTGATAGTTAACAGGGGGATATGTAGCCATGTTCCCAACTTAATTTTTTTGTTTTTTTTTTTTTTGGTTGTTTTGTTGGTTTTTTTTTCAATCTTTTTGAGACAGGGTCTCCCGGTAGCCCCAGCTGGCCTGGAACTCACTTTGTAGACCAGGCTGGCCTTGAACTCACAGAATCC